AAAATTTTCTACTTTCCACATGTTAATAGTCATTAACGTGTGGAAAGTTTTTTTGAAATTCTTTGGGTGATGAATGGATTGACTATTCTTATGACGCATCTTACAAAATTTTCTACTTTCCACACGTGTTGAGTTACGGTGACCACCAATAAAACACGATAGGAAAATGCAAAAGCAACTTTGTTAATGATCGACTAAAAATGTTGTCTTGGTTCTATTCTTCCTCTTTCTTTCTTAAAAGAAACTTTGTCAAAAAAAAAAAAAAACAAAAAAGTAACTTTGTTATGATTGACTAGAAATGTCGTCTTGGTGTCGTCTACACGTTTTGAAACATCGCACTTTCCTTCGGGCAAAGAGGGAAAAAAAAAAAAAAAAAACAAAACTTTGTTATGATTGACTAGAAATGTTGATTAGAAATGTCGTCTTGATGTCGTCTACACGTTTTTAAACAACGCACTTTCCTTCGGGCAAAGAAGGAAAAAAAAAAAAAAACAAAACAACATCAACAACTCACTTTCACTTTTTTTAACATAAATAAAAATATTTTAGGTTTAAATTATAGAAACCCAAGCCTATACAATATAGATGAAAAAAAGAATTAAAAAGTAAATTAAAGGTTCCAATTAAAGAAATTCTTGTTATACTCCCAAATTCAAACCATTCACACACATATTATAGAAAAAGAAAAGAAAATGATGAAAAAAGAAAAAAAGAAAAAGGAAAGTGTTTCAATTTTTTTTTTAAGTTATTTAGGTGATAAATAAATTGACTATTCTTACTATGTGTCTTACAAAATTTTTTATTTTCATACATTAATGATTATTAATATGTGAAAAATAAAATATATATAATTTTGTGTTGATATTTATTTATCTTCAATTAATAAATTAGTCATTTATAACTGACTAAAAATATTGTCTTAGTATTATTCTCTCTCTTTATTTCTTAAAAGAAATTTTATCAGATAAAAAAAAAAGGAACTTTGTTATGATTGACTATAAACGTCGACTAGAAATGTCATCTTGGTGTCGTCTACACGTTTTTAAACAATTATTTGTTATTATAAATTTATA